TCCTTCTTTCCCTCCTTCCTTTCTTCCCTCCTTCCGTCCTTCCCTCCTTCCTCTCCTCCTCTCTTCCTCGCTTCCCTCCCTCCTTTCCTTTCCTTTCCTTTCCTTTCCTTTCCTTTCCTTTCCTTTCCTTTCCTTTCCTTTCCTTTCCTTTCCTTTCCTTTCCTTTCCTTTCCTTTCCTTTCCTTTCCTTTCCTTTCCTTTCCTTTCCTTTCCTTTCCTTTCCTTTCCTTTCCTTTCCTTTCCTTTCCCTTTCCCTTTCCCTTTCCCTTTCCCTCTCTCCAACTTTCTTCCTTTCCCTCTCCCCTTCCCTTCTTATCTTTCATCCCAGCCAAGCTGAGCCCGGACAACTTCCATACACACACGAATCCACCTGCCCAGAGCAAGTTGCCCCGCTCGCGTTTCTGACAGCGGTCCCCAAGGTCCGGTGAGAGCCCAGCCTCTGCCCCTCTTGCCCCCGCCACGGCCGGTTCTTCGGGCAGGGGGGATGCCCCGGGAGCCGGGTAGGGAAGGCAGGCTCGTTTCCACCGCTAAACAAAGGCTGGAAATGCACCAACAAAGGATCCGGCGCGGCCCCTTCGCCCGGAGCGAGAGCCGCAGGTGAGGGTAGGGGCTTGCCCGGCCAGGAGAGGGAGGCCAGCTTGTAAGGCACTACTTGAGGCGGCGGGGGGGGCGGGGGGGAAGCTGTATGCGGGGCTTCAGAAGGAACAGGTCCTAAGTTGGTGGGAAAACTTTCTTCCTCCTCCCCTCTTTCTGAGGAAGCTGGAAAACCGGCGATTTCAGTTCTCTCTCCGCATATCCCCTCAGCATAAGGGGACTCATTCATTCCCTTCCCTGGCTGGGAGCCGCGAAAGCCCAAGTTCGGCGCCTAATTAGAAAGAGTGGCAGGAAGAGTCATTCCTCTTTAACATCAGCAGTTAATGGCCTCGGAGTTTAGTGCATCTGAGGAGGAAGTCTCACGGGGAGAGGCAGGGGGATGGAGCTTGTGGGGAAACGGAGGGGCCGACAGAAGTGGGGGGTCTTTTAAGCATGGTGGAGGATCAGAAGGAGAGATTAAAGGAAGGACGGAAAGGGAGAATTTTGACTTAAAAAGAGGATCTCTAAGGTGGAGGGGGTGGGGAAGGATTGCACTGTGAGCCGACACCACATTTCCCCTCCGGTTGCCTTGGCTGCCTCAGCCGGGCGGGTTCGGAGAGGAGCGTAACCGGGGAGCAGCTGGGAGGGACAGTGGCAGGCAGCAAAGGAGAGATGAGCGGAGCCGGGATAGGGGGATGGAGGGAGGGATGGAAGGAGGCAGGGAGCTCTTCCGAGCCGCGGAGCGCTTTTCCTGGCTGCCTTTCTCGCCTTCTCCTCTCTCGCACCTCGGTCCTTTCCCTCCTTCTCTCCTCTCTGAGGTTTGCAAAGCCAACGTCACCAATCAATACGACCCCCGGCTCTGTGGGTGCGTGTGTGTGTGCGTGTGCGTGCGTATGTGGGAGCGTGTTTGTTGATCCTGACCTGCTGGACTTCAAAAATCTGCCGCTTCAGACTCCCTCCCAGCCTGTAAGTTCAGAATTACAACCTTCTACATCTATGCAAACTTTTATTTGTCGGAGAATACCTTTCTCTGGGAGAAAGAGGAATTGCCACCATGTGATCGGCTAATTTCTAACACGCGGGGCTATACCCCTCCCCCAGCGTGGGGAAAAATCATCTCCCGTGGATCTCTTTGAACTGTGCACAATCCATAACTTTGGCAATGTGTATGTACAGTGTTATTTCTGCAAGGCAGTTTTCCAGGGTTAGGGGAGGTGGTTGCATTCTGCTAAATGGATCCTTTGTGGTGAGTGCAGATTTATGCCCAGTTTTGATTTATAATTAAATTAGCTTCTAATTTGCAATATGTGTGTCTGTGTTTAAAATGTATCTAATCTGTGAAACTGAGAACGGGGGCACTTTAAATTAAAATCTACCTTTCGCCTCGAGGGTTTATTTATGAAGGGATAGCCGGGAGGGCAGCGTGCAGCAGGAAAGCGGGTCTGTAATTTCCATTAGGAGATGTCAATCAATCCTTCTCAATACATCAATTAATAAATCCGATTGGTGCTGCAGGCTTCTCCCCCCGGGCACTCTTTCTGGCCGGATGGGGAAGTGTGAAGGGAAAGCAAACTTTGGCCGGGAAGTCCCCGCTGGCAGCTCCCGGCCCGGCGCCCCCCTTTCCTCCTCCTCCGGCCCTGCGCTGGGCTCCGGGACCGGCTCCAGCCTCGGAGCTGGGGGCTGCAGGCGAAGCCGGTGGGACTCTCCCCGTCGGCTCTCGGGCTCTGGCAGAGGTAAATTAACACAACCTGGTGAGGTATAGTCGTGCCAGAGGCACGGCCCGGTGCGTCGGTGGGGGTGCGCACACGCGGTTAGAGCCGGGCCTGGGACCCCCCGTCTTAGCTGATTTATATTTAGGCTTCACTCTAAACGACACCCCCCTCCCCACACTCCATCCCGCCCCATGCAGCTCTAACCAGGACAGGAACTATCATGGTTTTTTTCGGTTGTTTTCTAGGGAACCACAGCACCCAGCTTTCATTTTTCACAATTGAAAAGGGGCCGGGGGTGGGGAGACTCCTCCAGACTGACAGCTCCTCCTGGCTCTCTGCTGCTGGCAAGCGCCCTACACCTGCAGACCAGCGGGAACTGGAAGGGAAAGGGGATTTCTTTATTACTATTTTTTGTAGTTCTTAACGGGAAAATACAGGGATTCCGTGGTCTCCCTCTAATTTAGCAATGACACCGATTCTCCTTCGTTCTTACTGGTTGTTCAGACGAGCACCAGCGCGGCGGGTAGGCGCTGGTCGGGGAAGCCCGGGGCCGGCGACGGGACAAGGTGCACCGGGGTCCTCCCACTGGGTCTCTGCCCTTAGAGGTTCCCAGAGTCAGAAAAACCAGACAAACAAAACTAAATCAAGGTGTCGCCTCCCTGCCTTCTGAAACCCCTAGAGACGTAGAAAAGAAGCTTGGAGGGTGGGAGAGCATCTTCAAACTTCTCCGTAGCCATCATCATCATCATCATCAAGCCTGTCTGCTTGATTTAAACCCAGCAAGAGAGGGAACACGCTGTCGCTGAACGCTGTCTCCTCAGCCTCTTCTTCCCCCCCAACCCAGACGCACGGGTTTTACTCTTGAATCTGCGGCTGTGCTGGCGGTTTGGGCGGCTCGGCACAAGCGCCTTGTGCGTGTCTGAGCGAGTGGGGCAGCGCTGGGCAAACACGGCGCTGCGAGGGGGGCACGGGCTGCCGGGGCTTGAGGGCCCAACTTCGGGAGGAACCAAGTGAAAAGAAGAGAGATTGAGAGAGAGTCTCCCAGGCAGCTTGATCCCATTAGCTCCGTCCTTGGGTTGCATATTTATACGGTCTAGGAGGTGAACAGATGGACTATCAATTTAATTCCATCTTCAACACCATCAGAGATTGATTTTCTACTCGCTTTTAATTTTGCCATAATTAATTAGATCATTACAACTGTTTTCTATTGATCTCCCTATTTAAACCTCAGATGCAAAGGGACTTCGGCAGATCCTTTAAAAACACAGAAGGGAAAAGGAACAGAGGGGGTTGCAAACTTTGTGATGTTTTTTTCGGTTTCGACTTAGAAGATTTTTGGTGCAGAACAGTGAAAAAAAGCTGCTGTGGCCTTTTCTTTTAGGAAGCATTTTCGGTTGCCTTTATATTTTCCCCTTATGCTTTGCTGAATCTTTGTAATATATATGTATAATATACAGCATATATAATAGATTTAATTGATTCGATGATGAAAATATACGCTCCCACGTGTACGTGTGTATATGCACATATATGCACACACATACACACAACGTATTTAATATTAAGATTTACGGGTGTGGTGCACACTCGTATATGGGGAATGTATCGACAGAAAAGAGAGGTGTTTTTCTGAAGGGCGGGTGTTTTCACTTGACTCCCCTGTGTGTCCCTATTTATGCACCTCAATCACCTCTAGATCGGGAATATTTCTCCCTGTTACTCCGCCAGAGCTGACAAAGGAAAACCAGAGCTGCAAGCCCGGTGCCCAGCGCCGCCGGAGCTTTTATTTCCAAGCCTCCCCTTCCGCAAGCGCTTGGCAGCAGCACTGCTCTGTGCTGACACTCGGCGAGGCTTGCATTTTAAATCTCCATGTGCCTTTTGTCTCCCCAAATTAAAAGCTCCATTTCTATACGTAATTTGAGAGAACCAAACCGCGTAATTGTGCCTTTATACCGCGAGCGGCAGACGCCGCGGAAAACCAAACCTGTCCTCTCCGGCGGGGTTCGTTTGAAGCTTTGTTTGTAAATCATAAAATTGACGACGGGGAGAGGGGGTCGACCCGGAGCTGCGTCCGCCGGCGGGGCAGGGCTGGGGGCGCAGAGCCATCGGCGCGGCCCCGGCCCCGCCGACACCGGCCAGACGCGGGCTGCCAGAGAGCCCTGCAGCGGGGCCGGAGCGAAAGAGCCACCGGAGCGAGCAAACGTCCACGGGATGGGGAGGGAGGCGGTGGGAGAAGAGTTTAGGCGTTGCCCTGAACTCTCTGCTGACGGGAGGGAGCTCCGGGGATGGGGCAAATAGCCAAAACCGGAGCGTGAATCCGGCTGAGGGCGGGTGGCGGCGGCTTGCGCGGCCGGGCCGAGCGGCGGGGGGCCGTGAGGCAGAGCGGCCGGGGCGGCGGGGACAGGGGACCCGGGACTCGGCCCAGGGCCCGCTCTCGGCTGGAGGCTCCGCTGAGGGTCCCTGCGAAGTTCGCAGGGTGACCACGGTGGGGCCCGGCCCTTCGAGGGAGGCTGGAGGAGGCACCCGTTAGGAAGGGGGGTATTTAGCAGGTGAGATGGCAAGTGTTAGAGAGGGGAATCTGGCGAGGCGAGGAGGGTGAGTGTGGAGGAGAGCAGAAGCAGGCTGCCTCCTGCCAAAGGAGGGAGTTGGGGGTGACGGTCTCATCCCTCCCTGCTGAATATTCAGCGCCCCCCCCCCCCCCGCCCCCCTTACCTGCTCTCCCTGAGCTCTGAGCCATGGCTCCCCTGCCTAATGGCCCGTCTCCCCGGGACGGCTGCAAAACAGTAGATCCACCGCGGCCTTTTCTTCGCTTCTCTCCTCCCCGCTTGGGTGTCTTGCTTTCCCCCGCTGACTTTCGAGATCTAGGCGCAACCACCCAAAACTAAACGGTTTAGATAACAACACACACACACCAGAGCACCACCACCACCACAAAAAAAAAAAAAAAATAAAAAAATAGCCAGCCACAGAGAAAGAAACGCCGCTCTACTGAGCCGGGACAGGCTAAAAGGAGGGGAAAATAAATAACAATCAAAGCAAATGCAGCGCGTTTGCAAAGCAAATGCTGCCTATAAAAGTGGAGAGGGGCTCACCTGCTCCAATGTACAGGGCTGTGCAGTTGGGGAGGAATGGGGCTGGGGAGGGGGATCTTGGCAGGGGGCAGCGTCTGGACTTTGATTCTGCTTCCCCTTGCCCCCTCCCGCAAACTGGCTACCTGTAGGGAAGTCTTGTTGCAACAGCAGATTAATTTGTTGTCTTATTACCATAAAAATGTGCTCGGAGAGGGAGGACGCGGGACAGAGGAGGAACTTCCTCCAAGTTGAAAAGGGAGGCGGTGGGCTCTTGCTGCGGGGGAAGCGGGCCGGGGCGGGGGGGGTATAGCCGGGGGGGGTCGCAGCCGCCGGGACCTGGCAGCCTCCGGGTGGGGTGGCGGGGCCGGGGACTCTGGCGTTTACTTTTGAGGCTGCGGGGGGCAGTCCTGTGAAGTCTGCCCTGTGAGAGCCTGGCTTTGTGCTTCTGCGAAATTATCTATCTGCCCATGCATTTATCTGTTCACTCGTCTCTTTCTCCCTTCTACGGGTGCGTTTTGGTAAAGGTTTTGCGACAAAAACAAAAACCAAAAACCAAAAAACCAAAACAAACAAACAAACAAAACCATAAAAAAAAGCTCCAAAGAAGAAAAATTCCCAGTGCTAAAGACATCACTGAGCGAATATTTTTCTTTCTCTCTTTCTAACCCCCCTCTTCCATCTCCCCATTGATTGAAAGTCTCTCTCAGCTCCAACAAGGAGTCCCAGGAAAAATGAACCATTCTGCTATCGATTCTTCATTAAAATTACATTTCTGCATTTGCTAAATTGGTTTTAAAAAGCTTCCCCTGTTATTATTGTCTTGTCAGAGCCGGCGGTGCTGGGCAAACAGTATTTAAAAGCTTGGGATCTCTCCAAGATGAGGCTGTTGGGGGGTTTGTTGGGCATGTGCTGTTTTTTCTAAAGTGTTTAGGAAAATGTTAACAACGCGGACTGGAGAAAAGGAAGCCCCGGACAAGAGGAGCACTGCGAAAATAAAGAAGGTGGAGGGAGCGCTTTCCTTCATAACACTTTAAAAATCATCGATTGTCGCTTCAAGCAAAGGGAGAAAAAAAAAAAGAAGTTTAATTTTAAATATTAAAATGGGACGGCAAAAGTCAATAATGGCAGCAAGGAGTATTTTTCTAAGACGTGGTCTCCAGCCCGCTCTGCAGCAGCCGCCGGATCTATCTGGAGTGGCTGCTCACCCCGCTGCAGCCCGAGCCCTGCTCCTGCCGCTTGGAAACCTGCTTCCACGGGGAGATGTTTGAATAAGTCCAGCTGACCCTCAGACGCGCACCGGCTTCCTCCGACCTAACCCCGAGAAGCTCCACGGAATCCCCCTCCTCCCTCCCAGACCCATGTGGGAAAAACCCAGGAGGGACTCTGGGAGATTTACTTCGAATTCTGCAAATCTCTCTCGAAAGAGCAGGGAAGCAGAAATGTCTTCCTGATGTGTTTATCCCCTAATCAGTTCATTAGTTATAAACAACATGACATTAGAAGTTAGGAGGCAGTTGATATTAATTTTTATTTAACTAGTTGATGTTTAATCCGTCACGCCAGGCTGCTTAGAGAGAGCTGGCTGACACAAACCAGTTAGAACTTCATACACAGCGATGATCGTCCCGGCACCGGGACAAACAAATGCCGGGGGGGGGGGGGGGGGGGCGCGGGGCCGGGAAACGGAGGAAAAGGGGGAGAGGGGCAAGCCCAGAGAAGAGGGAAAAGCAGCAAAGGAGGCTGGAAAATTCCTGCCCCCTTCCCTCCCCCCCCCCCCAATAAAGAGAGGGGAAGGGGGGAGGATCCACCAAAAAACATAAGATGTGAATGGGCAGAGAGGGGGAAGGGTGAAAAATCTGTCCAGGAGGCTGAGCCGGGCTGGCCGGGAGGAGCAGGAGCCCGTGCCAGGCACCCCTGCGGGCAACCGGGCCGGGGCCGGCTGCGGGTCCCCGCCCGTCAGGGGGACAGAGCCGGGGGTCTCGCAGAGGGAGTCCTCCTCTTAATTAAAAGAGGGGCCCATTGATCAGAACAGGGCTGGTCGAGGGGAAACAGCAACACATGGTGGGGCCGGGTTAAACGAGAAGCGGGCTTCTCCCGACTTGCCGGGGTGTAACAGTTCCTTTTGGTGTCAGTCTGCGACCCTTAACCAAGGAGCACAAGTGCTACCGCAAATAAAAGGAGAGAACGATTAAGGAGGGAGGGCTTGTGGGTCCATTTTCGGACACACATCTCTTCCTACCTTAGAGCCGTGCTGAAGCATTACCCAACTCGAGCCTAGAATTACAGACTTTCCTACTGTAGTTTTTTGTTTCTCCCTCGCAGCAGGCTGGTACCGTACAGTTGGCTGTAGGTACCTGTTTGGCTATACAGCATCTTTATATACAGCACTCTCTTCTCTTCATCCAGGGACCCCACCAGCATGTGGGACCCACACCCCGCCTTTGCTTCCGAGGTGACCACAGCATTATCCCAACACCTCTCTGTCCTGTGGTGGGACCCCCGGCGTTGCTCCCTCTGGGTGAGTGCTCCTGTGCCTCCCTCTTGTGCCTGTTCACTCGTCACTGTTCAGAACGTATTAACGTGAGCTGCTATAATTATATCAGCACGTATTTCACAATTAAAGCCTTTCTTGGACAATCAGGAAGAGACACTGGGCAATAGCTGAGTGCGTTGCTTGCCCTGAACGCCGGTTCCTCCGTGCAGCTGTAGCCGTGTGGCTGTGACTACAGGGAAAGTGTTCCTGCCTACGACCCATATTTTAATATCAATTTCCATATTAATTAATCACACCATCTATCTGCTGGATAAAGGAAATAGTTCACATTCCGAAGAAAATTGCCTGCTTTCCTGCAGTTAATAGTTAACTTCGGAGTAGAAAGTTCCCAGGGAAATGGGGAGGCGGAGGAGCAAGGCGAGCCCCGGCCTCACCCCTCTCCCCGGCCACGGCACCCCCGGGGCAGCATTCGGCCCCTCCACCGAGGGCTCGGGGCTCCGCTGCCTTCCGAGTTTGGGGAAAGCAACCGGAACCGGGTGTTTTAAGGAATACACTTCAGATGGGGTTGGGGGATGCAGGAGGAAGGCAGGCTCTTTCCCCATAGACCGAGGCAGAAAGTGGCTGCAACAGGTAATAGGGCAGACACCAGCGACCCGGGGAGTAGGGCAGCTTTTCAGGGCCGAGGGGAAACGCACGCTGCTTGGCTGTTTGGCTTGAAGTGGGAAGTGAGGAAGTGGGTGCCTTCCCCTTCGTCCGGCGTCTCTTCTCCCTTTCTCCGAGGCAGGGTGAGTTGAGAAGGACAGAGAGGATACTAAAGAAGGGACCTGCTGTGAGGGGGATCCACAGGCCGAGCTCGGGCAGACCCGGCTATTCCGAGGGTTTCGGGGTGATCTCAGAGGTGCGGGATGTCCCTGCTGGTGCCTTAGTGTGGGGTACCTGGTGCCCTGTGGCGGTGATGATGGAGCTGGGGAGAACACAAGGGAGAGACTCAGGGGAAGGAGCGGGCTTCCTCGCGGGTTCGGGGCTCTCTGCAGAGGCTGTGGGATGGACAGGAAAACCTCAAACCACCGAATTTGGAGGGATGCTACTGGCACAGGCAGAGGCTTCCTCTCTGGGGGCTGGGCTGGGGTAGAGCAGTGCTGTGGGAAGGGGATTGAGAAGACTGTGTGGTGGGCGCCGAGCCTGGAAAGGCCGTGGCCGAACGGGACCCAACGGGCTGCCCGCGGGAGGCACCGCGGGGGCTCCCCCTCCTTCGAGTCTCTCCGGCGGAGTATCGAGGTGCTGGCAGGAGGAAAGGGAGGAAAGGCACGGGGCAGCCGCCAGAGCTGCCAGCGGGACCAGGGCAGGACGCGGCGTTGAAAGGAACGGGCTGGGCGGGCGGCTCGGGGCCGGCCACGGGTACCAAGGCAGGCATCTGCGTGGAACTCGGTCCCCGGCACCGGCACGAAGGCAGCGGGGGGGTGTTGCGTGTGTGCTCACCCTCGCTGGTCCGAGGGTCCCGGCGTCCCCGCAGCGGGGCGGCCCCGGCTCTCCTCCCGTTCCTGGCGGGGCTGCCGGGCCGCGCGTCCCGCCAGAGGGGGCAGTGCAGATCGGCAGTGCCGGGCCCCGCCGGGAACGAGGCTTACGGGGCTCCGGCCTCTGCCCGGGCAGGGAGTTCTGCCCCAGCCGCAGCGGGGTAGCGGGAGTTCGAGCCGGTCGTTGCGCTGTGGTGAGGCGCACATTCAAGAGCGCTTCCCACGACGTTTACACGCTCCCGGCCCGTCTCCCTGGCCACCGGGCAAGGTCTCCCGGGGTTTGGGCTACCGCAGCCCCTGCGCTGGTCCGGCTCGGCCCCGAGGCAGGGCGGCAGCAAGAGCGCTCTCCCCGGGTTCAGGTGACATCGGTGGGGTCACTTCTTCCTTCCCCGCGTAGTTCAACACAAGTTATAGCGAGGAGGGGAGCCGGCAGCGGGTGCCCTGTGCTTGGGGACAGTCCGGGTTAAGAGGGATCAGGGGCTGCTCCAGGCCTTGGGGATGTGGGGAACGAGAAGGGATAAGGGCACGCAGGCGGGGGGACACGCGATCGCCTTTGCCAGAACTGAAGGAAGGGAAGGGGAAAATGGAAAATCACGTTAAAAAGCCTAGAAGCTGGAGACACAGAGCCCGCCCTGTACTAAAAAGAAGGGGTAAATAAAAGAAGGATGGAACTAGGCGAGATGATGAAAATCAGGATGACTGAATAGATAGACAGACATTGACTTTTTACTAATATTAGCAGGAAAAAGGGCCGAATAAGGAAGGAGACATAATTTGAAGATGAAAGGATGGATGGACAGAATAGAAATTAAATTTTAATGCAAAAAATAGAAAATATGAAAAAAAGAGGAAAAGAAAATTAGAGGAAA